AACTTATTTTTTGGGGAACCCAGGTAGTTTAGGGACTTTGTAGATGCCATTGTTATGTTTGCTTTTATTGGAAGAGCTAAGATTTTGTAATAGTTTAATCAAAGTGACTTAATGAGAATTTTGCTCTAGCATGATACAACAAAGACCCTCACTCCCCGTTATGATTTATTTTCAAAAAGGTTTAATTCCTTTTCTAAGACTCCGTATGAACTAGTAAGTTTAATTTAAGCTATATGTTGTAATCCTTCATTTAAGAACATGACAATGATGCTTATAATTGATCAAATTTAACCAAATAAGTCCTTTAAATTCTGCTACTTATTCCATATCCTATGGATATCCCTAAAATCTCTTAAACTTTTTGTCCCCTTTTAATTTAATTACAATTCTTCATGAAATATTACCAAGCTTAATATAATTCACCATAAAAAATCCTACATGTATGAAAGTATTAATTAGTTCAAATGAATTTTCTATGAATAAAAATATATAATTTCACATTTTGCCCTTTTTTAGAATCACAAACTTCATTTAAATCTCTTTGACATGAAGCCAATGCATCCTCAAAATAAGAACAGAAGAAATTAATTTAATTAAAATTGGATTAAGTTGAGAATTTTAAATGATTGCGCACTTTATCCCCTCAATGATTAAGCAAAATGTGAATGTATAGAGGAAGTTTCCCGGGGTTGCTATATTTATGAGGATAAACAAACTTAAAAGCAAAAAAGCAAATAAAATTGTTTAAATTTTATGATCACAAAAGGTGTCGTATTTTATGTGACATGATGTGAAATTTACTGAAAATATTTTCGGAATGTCTTTGTATATAATTTACACTGCACAAGGTATTATGAACTCCCCCAAAAAAACACAACCATATACGGTACGTATCACAGTAATGCAAACACGATTCCCCCTTTTTAATTTCATTTAATATGTCAATGTGTGACGAAATGCTTTTGAATGGATGAATTTAATTGGAATTTTGTGCAAAAAAAGTAAAAGAAGGAATAAGGAGATGTTTAGTGTAGCATTACATATACTTTATATTATGTCATATAATATATTTCTCAAAATGCGAAAATAAAAGAAATAGGATTAATTTCATGTGAAAATAAATGGCAATAAAAGGTCTCAAATTTCATTAAAAATGACAAAATATATTCCCATTGTTATGTTTTTATTCATTTTGGGTGTAAAAATGTTAATTGCATTTAGTCAGTTCCTTTCAGTACAAAAGGGGATGAAAATCGATGTGTCTTTTAATTCTCATAACTAATCTCATTCCAAGTGTCATTAAGGATGTGATAAATTTCATGCAATCTTGTTGATTTATATTAACTTACGAGAGCTATTCAATCATGATGTCCAAAATTGTTGTTCATGACATTTCTGATCTATGGACAAAGCAAGCCCGGGTGGACACAGCCAGTTAAAGTCCATTATTGGACAATCATTTAACAGTCTTTTAACTTGTCGAAATATATACGATATAGAGAACTATACGTTAACTAGACTTTAACTGGACATTCATGCTAATCAATCAAGTGTTCGAAACTCAAAAATAATTTTCCTTACTTTTTTGACCATATACTTCACAAGCGCTTACAGAAATCACTTATATAAGGTCCACCAAAATTTGTATGAAACTTTTAAGTAAATATAATTGTTTCACGCGCAAGTGTTCGAGACTCAATTTTTACTAGAGATTTTTCATAAGTGATAGTGTACTTTAATTAATTAATTACACTAATACAATAATAAAATTTTACAAAAGATAAAAAAAATGGAGAAAAAGACACGTGTTATTTATTTTATTTCGATTTTTTTGTAACTGAACATTAACTAGACGTATGTGCAATTCCTATGTCCAGTTAAATGGAAAGCGCAAAATATGTCATTAGTCGTCCCTAAGTCTAGTTGCAAAGGCACGTCAATGGATACTTACTCGCCGTGAAAAGGCAAGTCAATGGCAAGCTTTTAACTGGTACTTTGTCCACTCGGGAAGGGAGTCTGAAGTCTGATAAATCTCATTTTTAACTCTACATCATAACCAAACAAGCCCCAAATGTGCAGTCATTCCTGTGTACATAAAATTCATACGAAAAAAAAGAAGGTAGAAGTGCTTCAGATTTGATGAAAAATGTGATGCAATAAAGAACAACAACAAGAGTCAGTCAGGGATGATGATGTGAAATAAACAAAAGTTATGTCGAACATTTAAGGAATTGAGGCGAGATCTCATGGGAAATAGTACAGCACAAAGTTCCATGTGTACATGACGATGAAATTTTCTCATTTTCTAAATGACTTTCATCATGTTTTTGTGGCTGATTCCTTTTGTATTAATACAACAACTGATCTATGTCTGCTTTAATGAATGAGAGGGCAGGAACACAGCTATTCTGTATCAATAATGATTTGTAATTAACTTCTTGATCTTTACGAGTCAGGTGGTTCTTTGTTTTCTTGATTGCTGGCATTTCCACGTTATTGCATCTTAATCATGCTCATTTAAAATAAAATAAGTGGTTATATATAAGCAGTTTTTGAATTAATCCTGTGTGATCCTTTAAATTGAATTATTGAGAAATTTAATTGCTTAACATATGTCAAATTTCACATCTGCAACTCATATCTCTTAGATATAGCGCATTCATGAATGTTGCTGTGTTGAGTTGAAGAATTTGAAGTTAATCTAATAAACATGACATAAGAATGAAGAAGCTTTCCATTTTGAAATTGCATTACATACTTTGCATACATCAGAATCATGAGATATGAGTACAAAGGAAGACAACGAAAGACACAAGTCATGTCAATGCTTCTAAAAATTCCTCAAACTTGTATCCGAAAAAATCTCTTCTATAGAAAAAGAGTTGCGAATGGTGAATAAAGGAGAAGCAACAAGAAATAATGATGCCATAATATGATACATGTTTATTCGTCTAATCAAAAGTAATAATGGAAATGGAATGTGAATAAAATCCCCTTTTATATGCAGCAATGGCAGCAAGCAACCAAAGCATGATTAAATTCCATCGCAATTGAAATAAGATGAGAAGAAAAAATATAAATAAAATAAATAAATCCAATATTTTGTCACCCACGTTTAAATTTTTATTTCTTCCGTTCTCAATTTTTATGTTTGGGGTTTGCAGTCTCCCTATTTATTTCGAGCATTGCAAGGAAAATATTTTGATTTACATCCAACAAAAGCAGCAGAAAGACGAGAACTTTTTTCTTCCTTTTTGCTACCCTCCAAGTCTGATAAATGTGCAATCATTTTTCAATACAATCCAGCCATAGAAAAAAAAATCCTTTTCTCAACTCACTCTGTGGCTCAACTATGCTTAATTCACTCTATATTATTACTTTTTGTAAATTTTGGGTTCTTGGTTTTGTGAATTTTTTGAGCATCATTAGCAAGTCAAATGTGGTTATTTAAATAATTTGTCTAGCTGATTAATTGGTGGATGAGATGGATATGCATTTTATATACATGAAGCTTCCTTTTTGTGTTAAAAAGGAGAGCAGTTTAAGTTTTTTTTTACAAAAACTTCAATAAAGTAACCAGCTCCTTTATAATCTCATAAAACTGCACTTCATCCAACAGCACACATTCCAACTTTGATTTCATTTTTTGCAGGATTTAGCTATAAAACAAATAATACATCCCACATATTATACGATTATGATGATGATAAAATATCATTTTCTATTAATTTTATCCCTGTATCCATACGTATGTGGAGTATAACCAATGATGGAAGTTTCTCTCATCCATAAATATAACAAGCTAGTTTAATGTTTTACATTGTGTTCAAGCATTGTTATAGTTTACGATGAAGAAAATCTGTGCTTGTAGAAGGAAAGATTCAATTAAGCTCACAGGTAATAATTCAAAAATTATTAAAGCTTTTATGAGCACAAGACATGCTTAAAATAGTAAAGAGAAAGTCTAGACGCCATTAAAGAAGAAGAATTCCTTGTTTTTGTTCTATGTCATAAATAAAATAACCAATCTTTGTAAAAAGAGAGATTTCCGAAGGCATCAGGTGCACGGAAGTGATTTTTCCTGAACCGAATGAATTTTTTTACCCATTCAACTGTTGATCCACCACTTATGTCATGCAACATTGCATTATGTTGCGCAACATGAGATACACAAGAAATTTATTTTGAGAGAGAAAAACATAAATTGAGAGTCAAGAGAAGCTCCAACGACATATTCTGAGTTCTCACATACATACATCCTGTTTCTGTCCTCCCCCGAACAAAAGGTAAAAAATTGAAAATTTATTTGTTATGCTTTCAGTCTTGCTTTTCCTTCCGTTGAGTTCAAGCGCCAATTGTGGATGAAAAAAATAATTTTTTCTTATCGTGCGAGGGATGTAAAGAAAATAATTTCAGAAAAAGGATTTTCGTGTGAAAATTTCAGTTCCTGTTTATGGAAAAAAAAAATTGTGTACTTTGTGGATTAACATTAAAAAATTGTCGCGAAAGTGGATTTTTTTGTAAGAATTTTTTTGTGGATTTATGTGACTTAAAAAATTATTTACATCCAAAAAAAAGTTGTCGAGCCAAAAAAAAATTAATAAATCTTATTGTGCTGCCTTACTGTCCAAAAAAGCCGACATAAGGCACCGCAAAAAAAAATCGGAGCCCAAAAATAATGTTCTAGATCCAAAAAAATAAAAAAAAAATAAATTTATAAAGGCACAGTGAAAAGGAGAAGAAAGAATTGTGTGTAAATAATTTTCATTGAGGATGCTGCTCTTGCTGTGAGACAGCTTGACGCCAGATATTTTAAACAGTGTTCATATTTGTTATTCTCAGTTTGTGTGCTACATTATTGCGATATCAGTAATAATAATAAAAATAAAAAAAATTTTTATCCGTAGACATAAAAATTTATTGTGTCTATTAGCACGCCTAAATAGGGAGTAAAAAAATAAATAAATTCCTCAGCAGAGAATAATGTTCAGTGTGAAATTATTAATTTATGTAAACTTAATTACATTGTCGCTCCTACATGCGGCAACACTTGATGTTTTCAAAAAATCCTCACCATTCATCACACCATCAAAATCATATGATCCATGTTATGACGAGGATAGACCGATGCGATGTCTGCCAGATTTTGTGAATGCAGCATTTGGTCTACCGATTTCTGCATCCTCAACATGTGGTCTAAATGGACCAGTTAAAGTTTGTGATAATCCAACAAATTTTAAGAGTGAATCTCCTGTGTGTAATTTATGCGATAATTCAAGTCCTAAAAATAGATTTCCAGCCTCTGCATTATCTGATATAAATAATAGTCAAAATATAACATGCTGGCGGAGTGAGCCCGCACCAGTATCGACGAGTATTGATGCGCCTCCTGACAATGTGACATTGACATTATCATTGGGGAAAAAGTACGAATTGACATATGTGAGCTTGGTATTCTGTCCACGTTCCATAAAGCCAGACTCATTAGCCATTTATAAAAGTACTGACTATGGGAAAACGTGGCAACCGTTTCAATATTATAGCACGCAATGTCGACGATTTTATGGACGTCCTAATCGTGCGTCAATAACAAAGAATAATGAACAGGAGGCTTTATGTACCGATAGTCATTTGTACAATAAGGATACGACAACGTTACAAGGCTCGCGTATTGCTTTCAGCACATTAGAAGGACGACCGTCAGCTGCTGAGTTTGATACATCAACAATACTTCAAGATTGGGTTACAGCAACAGATATTCGAGTTATTTTTCATCGTCAACAAGTTCCACTGCAACAACAGCTTGAGGAAAATGTTCACCAAAGTGGCGACGATGATGATATTGAAGATGACGATGATGACGAGGATGATGATATTGTCTATACGGAATCGTCAAGTACCAAATCAATAAAACCCGTACTTCCTAAATATGATACGAAAGATGACGACTCATATGATGACAATCAATTGGATATGTCAACATTATTAACAACATCATCGTACAATGAAAATAATAATAATAACAATGGACAGCTGATGATGCATTATGCACTTTCCGATTTTTCCGTTGGTGGTCGATGTAAATGCAATGGACATGCATCACGCTGTGTGCGAGGTGTTGATGGTCAAATGGAGTGCGAATGTAAACATAATACTGCGGGACGGGACTGTGAAAAATGCAAATTATTTTATTTTGATCGACCATGGGCACGAGCCTCGTCACGTGATTCAAATGAGTGTAAAGGTGAGTTGATTTAATTTTTAAATAGATTCTACATCACTTGGCATAAAATTGATAATTGGATCCCTGCATAAATTGACAAAAATCTCGACAATATCTTCTTCTACTTTATTGAATTAATTAAATTTGGGTACAAGAACTGTAACCAAATTAAAATCACTCAAATTTAATTAATTTGTTCATCAAACTAGTTCAGAACATCATCAAAAAAGAAACTTTGACACTCAAAAAACTTTTCCTTCGTCACCAAAAGAGATATCTTTGTCTCATCAAACCGCTGTCATGTGAATTCATCTAATAAGTCACTCCTCATTTGCTTCCTTAAAGTCATTCTAATGTAAAATTTCACACACAATGACGGATGTGTAAGAGAAAAAGGATAATGTATGCAAATGATCTGTAAGCGCTCTCCATTTTGCTGGTTGATAAAGAATAATTGGAACCAATTGAGCTATCAAGTGAAAAAATGAGAGAGAACAGCACATTTGTATCCCTTTTTTTACGCAAAAAAATAACATTTATTTCTTTCCTAAATCACTCCGACAGCATAAATCCATTTTTCTTCCTTTTATTCTGTAGAACAAACAAAATACTTAATGGTGGAATTGGAAATGTTATAATATATGGATGTATACATGATTAGATACAAAGGGAAGACATATAAAATAATGGCCATTGTGGGGATTGTGTCGATGAGTAGTCATTCAATTGGGGAGTTGAATGAGGAAAACAAATGTGCAATTCAGTGGATTTTAATGAAGGGATCAATGAATGTGTCCATGCAGAGTTCAAGTCAATACATAATAAGTGGGTGTGATGGGTGATGAAAGTGTGTTTGCTACATGTATATGAATAAAATAATATTTCATCATATGCGTAATGTAAGGGTCCATTCTGATAATTTTCCAAAAATTTATATTTGAGAAGGACATCAACAATGAAAATGGAATATAAAGTGAATTAAGCCACAAAGTGAGTTGAGAAAAGGATTTTTTTCTATGGCTGGATTGTATTGAAAAATGATTGCACATTTATCAGACTTGGAGGGTAGCAAAAAGGAAGAAAAAAGTTCTCGTCTTTCTGCTGCTTTTGTTTTTTCTGTTTTTTCTGTTGTTATCAAAATATTTTCCTTGCACTGCTCGAAATAAATAGGGAGACTGCAAACCCCAAACATAAAAATTGAGAACGGAAGAAAATAAAAATTTAAACGTGGGTGACAAAATATTGGATTTATTTATTTTATTTATATTTTTTCTTCTCATCTTTTATCAATTGCGATGGAATTTAATCATGCTTTGGTTGCTTGCTGCCATTGCTGCATATAAAAGGGGATTTTATTCACATTTCATTTCCATTATTACTTTTGATTAGACGAATAAACATGTATCATATTATGGCATCATTATTTCTTGTTGCTTCTTCTTTATTCACCATTCGCAACTCTTTTTCTATAGAAGAGATTTTTTCGGATACAAGTTTGAGGAATTTTTAGAAGCATTGACATGACTTGTGTCTTTCGTTGTCTTCTTTTGTACTCATATCTCATGATTCTGATGCATGCAAAGTATGTAATGCAATTTCAAAATGGAAAGCTTCTTCATTCTTATGTCATGTTTATTAGATTAACTTCAAATTCTTCAACTCAACAGAGCAACATTCATGAATTGTTTACGCATGAATGTACCATATTTGAGAGATATGAACACTTCTGTGGAAGGAATAAAATTCTCAAATTAATTTTCATTGCATTTTCATCCTCAATCAAATTCAATCGTATTCGTGCTGCTCATGAAATGAGAATTTCATCATTTTCAAATTTTAATCAATTTTAATGCAAACCGGAAAATTTGAGGTTTTGCAGCACTCCCCCAAAAAAACAAATTTCCCTGATTTAAAATGCAAAAACAGACAAATGTGTGGATTTGAAATTCGCTAGATGAACGGAGTAGATGTAAGGTAGTTGGGGAGATAACAATACAACCAGTACGCAATTACATTAATAATCCATTAGATAAATGGTTTTCAGTCGAACTAACTTCTGCATTTTATTTCAACATCACACACAGAGAGATGCTGAAAAGGAATTGATAATGAAATTTAAATATTGTCAGATACCTCACAATGCGATTCCACAAATCCTTTCGAAAATCTCTAGAATTAATTGCTTTTTTTTGCTCCCCTTGAATTTTTTTTCCTTCTCATTCTTTTTATTTTATTTTATTCATTGCTCATTTCTGTATGTACTTATCGCACAGATACTTTTCATTTCCTCATTAATTTGTAATCAAAATATTTACACTTTGTGGAATTCGAAGGAGAAAATTAAAGGAATGAATGAGAAAAAGCAAGAGGAAAAGAATTCGATGAGAAATTGGAGAAAATCGATTCGATTTATTTTTTAATTAATTTAAAATCGCACAGTGTCTTTGAGCTTATCCAACTGTGAAATAATTTATTGAGATGGTAAAAAGGAATTTTTTTTATATCCCTTTTTACTGCTTTTAAATATTTGAGCAGTTTGTGGAAGAGAAAGTGGGATTTTGTCATAGTTTGTCCATGTTGCGATGAAGAGACGCAACACTGGAGGGTAAATTAGGCTGTAGTTTCTTGGTTCATGAAAAATTCACAGATATCGTCCATCAAAAATCAAGATTCTTTGACCCCGCCCCCCTCCCCCCTCTACACTCTTGTCACAAAGCTGTATGAAAAACAAATTTTTTATTGAAACCGTCAGAAAACTTCAGACCTTCCTCCCTCTTCCTCAGACCCTCCGGCTAAGAAGATTTCACAATTTATAACTAATCCACCAAATGCGTTCCAAAAACTAATCCACAAAACCCCTTAATACCCAAAACTTCTTTGTTCTAGATGGGGAAAAGAAGATAAAAGCGATATTTAATTTCATATGTTTTTGAGACTTTCAATTTCCTTCTCGCCCTTAACCCAAAATTTCCCTTCTTTTTTATTGAGCAACGTATGAAAAATTAAGAAGAAAAATTTATTTCACTCGAAATGCCAATAAAAAAACGTTTGTGAAGCAGAAGAAAAAATTTGAACTGAAAAATAAATTTTATGAAGCTATTTGATGTGCGTTCAACTTCAACCCCTCTTAAAAAATTCTATCCAATTCTATATACTCTCATATGTATGATACGCCTGATTGTTCGTCGATTTGTAAAATAAACATTGCAGATTATTTGTATTGAGGATGGAAAATGTTTGTATAAGGCAAATTGTTGTATCTTGTTTATTTTTACAGGCTGAATGAAGTCGAATTTTTCCAGATAGGATAACAGAAAATTGATTTGATATTAAAAGATTTTAGATATGAAAAATATTTTTATATCAAATTTATGAGTGAAATTTTCTTTATTTTATCTATTTTTCTTAAGATTAAGTTAGGAATTGATGGACTTAAATTATTTTGACAGTATAAATCTTTTTATGACATAATTTGTTTGATTATCTTTGAAATTGGAAAGAAAAACAGAAATTTGAAGGGTTTTTGGAAGAAAACTCTTGAGCATGTTGCTGATTGGGTTAGAAAAATAAAAATTGATAAGTTTGCAGTTCTTTAATCTCCTATCATCCCAATAACTAAGCTTGTTATTGATAAAATTCTTTATTAAAGCAACAGATCGCTTTCATATAAAATTTCTCATAATTTACTGATATTCTTATACAATCAGCCTCCAAAAATATCAAAAGGCCCTTAATACAAAATTGATACAGCTCAATATGGTTCAAGGCTTGAGATTACGCTCAATATGTCAATTTATGTCGGTTACATACGAAAATATTTTCATAACTCGCCCACATTCTTGTAATTTCTATGAACATTTAATAAAATTGAAGCACTGTGGGTTGAGAGAATCCTTTTTTCTTATTCATCAAAATTATTTTTATCATCAACTTGACAAGCATTAAGAAATTAAATTATTTAAAATATTGTGTATGAACTTAAATAGCTTGCGATAATAAATTTCATTATGTTGTTCCTTAATATCTAATAACAAACAATGAAGGATTTTTTTGTATTCATCCCCTTCGTCAAATTCTTTTCCTATCTAGCATTTATTCAGTATTTAGTCAATAGAAAAAAATCCTGTTAACAAAAATCCGTCGTCTATTGCATTTTCTTCTTTATAATGTGTATCTCTATGAACATGAAAAGCAGAACATAAACAAATTAAGTTTGGAATTTTTTTAAAGAAACTGGATGCAGGGAGTGCATTTTTTGGGAATGCGAACATTTTGAATAGGTTTCAAAGACCAAACCTGACCAGAGATATGAGCAGCAATTGGAATAATCAACCAGCTCTCGTTGGAACTTGATTTTAGGACTTAAGAAACATGATTTATTGAATATTTTAGTAGAAAAATGTAAACTTTTGAATAACATGTTCCGAGCGAGATTCGAACTCCACATTCTTACGATTTATGGTGGCAAATTCCAACCACTGAGCTATTAAAAGTTGTTAAGAGGCTTAGCAGAATGCTGACGTGAACTCTGATAGTGTTGTTAATCCTGCTTCACTTGGAAACCTTTAACAGTCTCCAATTCTAAATGAAAATATCCAAAAACTCAAAATTATGATCAGAATAGTCACTCATTGGACAGTAAACATGTTCTTAAGTCTCGTTTTTAAAATTTTCAATTCAAGAAGTCAATATAGACATATAATAAAATATGAGCACTAACGCCCTTTACATCATAAACTGCTCTAAAAGAAGAACAAAAAAATGTTTATGTTATTCTAAAGGCTTACAATCGGTAGAGAGAAAACAAGATTTATTGGGGTTTGGAAAGAAAAAAAAGAAGAACGAAAAATTCTCTTCATGAATTTTAGGAATTTCAATTTTTTTTCTACTCTCTATGAACATTCATTCCACCCATCGAATGACAATATAAATAGAAAAAAAATGGCAAAAGATGGGTAAGGAATAAAATTTAATTTACTGATTGCGACCCCTCCACATCCACTGAGCTATGGATGTGAGGA